CCCCAGTTCCCAGACCCCTCTCTATGAACGGAAATGCAAAGTTAACACATGATAAAAGCATGGCTGGGCCATTCAAGCAAACTGGGGATGGATTCACAGTGCAATTGGGTTGCTCATACAAACTTTTTTTTTGGTTTGCAGAAGTTTTTCACCCTTCACCCTGTTCCTTCCTTACACAATAGGTGGGAATAACTGGGCAGAGGGTGTCTCCTTAAAATTCATATATGATCTATGGCTGCAACCTGATTATTATTATTATTTTGAAAAAAAATTTTTTAGCAGAATCATATAATTGGAAGGGACGCTGAGGATCATCTAGTTCAACGCCTTGCAATGCAGGAATATGTAGCTGTCCCTTACGGGATCGAACTTGCAACCTTGGTATTATCAGCACCACGCTCTAACTAGCTGAGCTAATATGAGTTTAGTAGGCATCATCTTAGACGAGGCACCTATGTGAGTTAAAAGAGGGTGTGTCTATTAAGAGGGTGCTTGCCTCCTGCAGTTTTGTTTTATGTGCACTGATGAAACAGAGGCACTTTTACGACAAAAACTTATTCTGAAACAATTAATCTAACCCATTTGTCAACTGAATGCTGCAGCCTTAATGAAAGCTGCCAATTATTGCAATGAGATTTTAAACTTTTGAAAGCCACCCTGAGTGTTGCATGGGCACTTGAAGGGTTCGACAGAAACATTATGTGCATATATAGATAAATATACTGAGCCAATATATTTGGCGCTTTACAGGGGCAGACTCCGGTAATCTTACGTAATATGGTGCCCAGTGTGAAGCCAAAATCTGGCGTCCCTAAGTGGATCTTCTCCATTTTGCGCCCGTTGGCTCAATGCACTATGCAGGTTCAATCTCCTGCACCATCCTAAATTCTGACCTTTAATCCTTCTACAACTGCCTAGTTTGCCATGTAGCAGCTCCCCAATGCTTTGTTCACATAAGCAGTACCTCCACCTCCTAGTTTCACCACTTTTGCCATCGCTGTTTTTTACTACACCTGTTGAGATGAGGCAGGAACCCTTGCTAACTGCTATATTGTTTTCAATGCCTGCTGAAAACTTTTTATCTGTAAACTTCAAGTCCAGTGCTCCCCCCCCCACAAGGGGTACGCAGTACCTTCACTGTTTTACTTTGCAAGAAAAGCACTGGTTAAAAGTATGGCACTTACTGTAACAACTTCATGGTGAGTTCCGGCACTTTTTTTCCTAGAGGAAAAGCCCTGAGCAAGCCTATCATCCCTGACATGGTACATTCATTTTTAAATATACAGTTTTATTATTAGGCTAAGATAGCTCTTCGATTAGGCTAAGATATGCTTTTCTAAATAAATGGGGGTGGGGGTGGAAATAGAGTTGCTGCAACAAGCCACAGGAAAGTGCTCAAGGTAAGGGGGGGCTGACTAGGATAGTCTTGAGCAGCCGTGGAGCCAGTCTAGGTGCAGAAGTGAGGCAGGACTCTTTGAAGTGATGAGGAAACACTTGTGTTAAAAGCTGTGCTTTTTTGTTTTAAAAAAGAAGTGTATGCCATTCTGGACAAAATGCAGAAGCTGAAAGGCATGGTGGGCTCAGCTACCATGAGTGAATCATGTCATCCTGCATTGCTCAAATGTCCCCCAGCTCTCTACTTCATCAAGTCTCTATTTTATTTCCAATCCCAGGGAAAAGTGTGTTTCTCTTCTCTGCTGTTCTTCTAAATTCCTCTTCCTCCTCTTCAGTATTTAACTCTCTTATTGCATTAATTAAAACCCGCCAAGCAGAAGGTGATGCAGCTTGTGGGAACAAAGCTCAGAAACATTTTGTACTGTCGGTAACTACACACAGCATGACATCACCCCACACTGTTTGCAGTGGTGCACAATGGCATATAAACATTTATGCCACAACCCAATCCAGAATTTACTGTGTTTCAGCTCCTTGGTTTCAGTGGCTTCCAAGACAATTAACTCCGTGATATAAAGTGAAGACTAAAATCGATGAATAATGACAAAAACACCATCTAACTAAAGTTGCATAAAATACATGTTTGTTTTTGCAGATAAATATGCTGAGCATACTGTGTTGCTTTTCAAGGAGATGGAAACATCCCTAGAAATAGATCGGGTTTTGCCTATCCAAGTTTTTAAGCACCACTGATTTCTAGTGGGAGAGATTTCAAGCATTCGCTTTATTCTTCCATTTGAGATGATGGAACTTAAAAGTAGTTGACTGGTTGTATTGGACCCCATTTTTTCAAAAGGGCACAAATAGGAAGCTGTCTGTTTTATTCATTCACTTCCTCTCCTCCTTGAAATGGGCGTTGCCAGCATGAAATTCTGAAAGATACATATTTTCAGCACATTTGCTTTTGTTTCTGGCATCTTTTAGATTGCCTGGCAGCATGGAAGCTGGAGTTGTTATCTGGCCTTCTCAGTGTTCCTGCCGCTGTTTTCATATGGATTCTAGAGATTTAAACAATAATTATGTATTTGTAAAATAAGACCTCTTTTTAAAATATTACATTGACAGTCTCAGCAAATCTTTATTTGCTAGATGTTTTTGACATTTTTGGTCAGGAAACAAATATGTAACTTGGTGCCCAACAAGTTTAGTAGGAAAATTCTGCTATTTATTCTTGGACCTATATCTGTGTTTTTTTAAAGGCTAGCAAAAATTTTGCCAATGCCTTCCAAACTCACTTGGGTGATTAGCCGGGGGGGGGGGGCGAGGACTGCAGCTGATCTTCTCCAGTATCACCTGATATGAGTATCAGGTGATTTAAAATGTTACGATTCCGCATCTCAGCCACACAAACATGCAGTTTTATTTTTTTTATTATAGACATTTAAAATACAGATACAAATCATACATACACCCCATTCTTGCTATAATTTTTCACAAACACACAATATTTGCACAACTTGCAACAATAACAGCACACATTATATAACAAGAAGGTGAACCACTTTCTTGGGGAAACAGCAACAATAAAAAAGAGTCTTGTAGCACGTCAAAAAAGCTAGCCTGTGACGATGAACATTTTTCCTTTGAGTCTGTGTTGAGCTTTATGTTTGTGGTTGAAGTCAATATATATGTGTGTGTGTGTGTGTGTATGTGTGTGTGTGTGTAATATGCAACAGTCTGGCTAGATCAGAAAGTGGACAGCTGTGTTGACAGAATTTGTTAGCTGCAAAAAGAGGAGTGTGGTGCAGTGAGGGGGAGGTAAAGATAAAAATTGGATACTGAAGCAGGAGGATGGTCAGGGTTATTGAGGGAGTAGGCTAAAGATCATGGCTTTGTACCATTTGGGTGAGGGAAATTCCACCTTCACTGATATCCTTTAGGCTCGCAACAGCCCTGCAAAGTAGGCTAGCTTGAGAGAGATTTGCTCAAGGCTGAGTATAGATCCGAATGTGACTTTCAAACACAGTTGAGTGTACATTTCACATATACCCAAATACAACCCTGTAAGCTAGGAACCCGGGTGGCGCTGTGGGTAAAAGCCTCAGCGCCTAGGACTTGCCGATCGAAAGGTCGGCGGTTTGAATCCCCGCGGCGGGGTGAGCTCCCGTTGCTCGGTCCCAGCACCTGCCAACCTAGCAGTTCGAAAGCACCCCCGGGTGCAAGTAGATAAATAGGGACCGCTTACTGGCGGGAAGGTAAACGGCGTTCCGTGTGCTGCGCTGGCTCACCAGATGCAGCTTGTCACGCTGGCCACGTGACCCGGAAGTGTCTGCGGACAGCGCTGGCTCCCGGCCTCTAGAGTGAGATGAGCCCGAGCGCACAACCCTAGAGTCTGGCAAGACTGGTCCGTACGGGCAGGGGTACCTTTACCTTTACCTTTTTAAGCTAGGAATAGGGAAGTGACACCCATGCTGGCTGGGGCAGATGGAATTAGGGAGTCCAGCAACATCTGCAGGCTAATTGTCAGGGATGAAGGGAGTTGTGCAGCAACACCTGAAGGGCCACAGATTCCCCATCTCTAATAGAGCCAGTGATTCTACAGTAGCAGTCATGATGATCCATCCAAAGCCTCAGGCGACAACAACAAAAATTAACAGGCAAATTCATTGGGAACAGTTGTTTAAGAAAATAATAGCTCAAATGTAGGCTTCACCTTTCTTGTTATGATAATTTACCACCATGACCAATATCTGTGAGTGCTCATATATACATTCTGCTCTGCTCTTGTATTCGCATCTGTAGCAAATCCAAAAATGTTTCCTGCACCCCTTGGAAATCTTCCTTCCAACTATCTACTTTTCCGTCTGTCTTTAGACATGCACACACAGTGAGGTGATTCCTTCATCTGATAAAATAAACTCTCATGAAAATATATGCCGCAGTAAATCAGTTCTAAAAAGTCAGTTAGGAATTGTCTTTGGTTGTACTTTCCTGAGTGCTCCTCCCAGACAATCTATTTATTAAGCATTCTTCCTGATTTGCTTCTACAAAGCTTCCACAGAAGTTAGATTATACTGTATCCAGCATTTACTGAACATTCATTCTGATTTTCTTTGTGTTGAGCTTATATAAGAACATAACAACATAATATAGTAAACATTCATCCTAATTTGCTTGAGGGGACTGCAGGTGTAATATGACTTCAATTAATCATTTGTTCTTTCCCCACTTCTCAATGCATTTCCCAGTCACTTCTCTAATAGCAAAAAGTCTGTTTGGTTTTTCTTAAGCGTATCTGTTGCTCTGAGGTGCCAGGGCAAGTTAACTCACTTGAGCTGCAGAAGCCTAAAATTTCTGGTATGAGGTTGAATCCCTCCTGCAAAATACTGACAGTCTGGAGGATCCCTGACTCTTATAAAGAGATTGTAGAACAAGGCAGAGCTGTCCCACTTACCATGAACAGATCTGCCTCATTGCTTCCCCAGTAAAAGTTTCTTTATGCCCTGTCACAGTAATGTATATGTATCCAATAATTTTGACTGGCTGCTACTAGTCTGTGTTGTTATGCAAGAGATTATCTGGAGTTGCAGAGTGATCTTTTCTTTGGGGTGGATTCTTCCTTTGGAAAACACATTCAGTTTCCAAGGCAGATTATGTCCCATTAGCAGACTCTGCTATGGACTGATTTAACCTTTTGTTCTGTTTTAATAGCCACAGAGTGTCCTTTAAAACAACTCTCAAATGCATGTCAGGAATATATAGAAGACATGAATGCTCATGGCAGGACTTGCCCTTCAGTTTGGAGGGTGGGAGAGAAATTGTGTCTGTATGCTTACTGCACTTCTCATTTGACTGTGGCAAAATGAAAAAGGGAAAATAATGACATTGTACACTTTCAGTTTTTCCTCTCGCACAGAGAAAAACAATACTTTGAGTAGAACTGTTGTTGGTAAAAAGAAGAGCCCTTCAGCTGCTTTTGATCATTGCTTCCACAATCCTGATCAGGATTGGGATTTTATAAACTCCCATTAAAAAATTACTCCTTGAAACGTTTGCTTCCTGGTGGGTGAGCTCTCCTCCTCAAGAGGAGTGGTGGCAGCACAGAACATTTTGAGCCAATCCAAGCCCATTGTGGCTCCATTGCTCTCCACACCCATGGAGTCGCCAAAACATACTCGTATGTGAGGCTGCTACAGATCTTTCAGGAGCCTGATGTATTTGGTAATAGGAGCAACATAGCGAAGGCAGTCATGCTCTATGCTCTTGGCAAACTCCTGCATTTAATGGGATTTGTGCAGAAGAGGGTCCAAGTGGATTACTCCAGTAACTGTGAATAAGCACAGCAAGTTGTTTTTATGCATATTTCTGTAATCTTGTTATCTGAAGACCCCACTAACAAAAAGGTTGGTTAATAAAGGAGGTTGTCACCAAATGATGTGGAAAGTCATTTGCATATATGCTGATTGTTTTACCAAGTTTTTTGAATGGATTGCAGGTGGATACTCAGCACTGTTTTATTAATGTGTGTGTGGAAATGCCCATCTGAGGGTTCATCCACAGCATAACAATTAATCGCCCCCCCCCCGCCGAGTCCGAGAGCTTTTTCTTTGTTCCACAGCTGTGCCTTGCCAAAATCCGGTCTTACCCGCTAAACTGAAGCTCAGTTAAACAAAATCTCTCTGAAAATTTTCCGCACATCTGCTAAGATCAGACTCAGAATTGTGCCCACACCTTCCTGTGGAACTGGCAGAAACTGATTTCCTTTCCCAAATTCAGCTTGAGAAATTAATATGCAGGTTGCAATGGTTGGTCTTGTTTTACCAATTTGTCTTCCTTACCTTTAAAACATCCAAGGTGTCAGATAGAACCAGGAAATTATCTTACTGCAATTTTATGACAGGAAAGCCAATGAGGCTCATCTCTCTCTAACACACACAGATAGATATATGAGCTGCGGTTATCTGTATTTTGTGTTAATTATGAAATTCATTTTTCACTGATTTATTTCTGTCTTTTGCAGAAAGATATCGGCTTTTACCCTTCTTGTACTTAACACTGCCTCAAAATGAGCCTGATATGAGCATTGATATGATTTTAAAACAGGGGAGTGAAACCTGTGAGAGTTCACAAGGGACTTTCTAACCTTCAGCAGCATAATAAGAGTAATGGAGGACTGTAGCAGTCCCAATAAATAATAAAACATCTACACACACACTTGTAATTTACTTGTATAAGAATTTGCTTATGCTGAATATAGGTAAATACAGTATTTTTCCTTCTTCTTCCTGTGTGTTCCTCTTTTGCTGCTTTCCCCATATTTGTATGTCCTTTGCAAATGAAATTATGTGGTTGTTTAAAGCCTATTGAAAAGATATCAGCTCTCAAAGAGCTCCAAGGTACAGACAGACATATTTTATATTCATTTACAATTTTGAAATAAATAAAAAATTCTGATGATACTGGGTTTTGAGATACATACACACAATATGGTTAACTTTGAAAGGGTAAAAAAATCTACTCTTGTGTCCCAGTGACCTGTATGTTGTTCCTCCTGTTTTCCCTCCAATTGCATATTTCAGAAACACCCAGGAGCCCGAATCTGGCTACTCCTGTGAGGGCACAGGGCCTCCAAACTGCACAAAAAACTGTTTCCTTTTTTTGGTTGGGTCCAACACCATGTCTGCTTGAATGTAACAGATTCATTATGCTTTCCTGACACTGAAGCAAATAGAGATGCTCTTTCCCACCTGGAAATCTAAGTGTGTATTGGGTGACTTCAGAGCCTAGCAGAGTAGCAAGTAAATCCTGATGCCATTGAAACTGCAGGATTTTTTTTTTTCTAATTAAGCATGCTGCAAGAGAGTTTTGCCTGACAGAAGTCTGCCTGGAAATAAGGGCCATAGAGTACAATGGCTATTAATCCAGGTAAGCATCCATAGGATTGCAGTTTAGCAGATCAAGCCAGCCCTGTCCTTTCTATGGTTTTCATACTCATTCATTTTGCTCCAGCATCACCTTTAGTCAAACAGGTTTTGTAAAACTTGCAAACGAAGGTGATCGTGAGATGACTTAACTCTGCCTGCTCCCAGCCTAAGAACATGAATGGCTGCATAAGCATATGGTTTTTCAAGGGCCATTTTTTCAATGAGTTTATGGACTGTGTGTGCATATACATCTGGAATTATAGGTACCAAACACAGGCAGTTATACCAGATTTAAATAGCAAAGTATGGGAAGATTTGGTCTTGTATTCACAACAGGCTTATATCTACAACAGGGCTAGTTTCTACAACATACTATTCTGGGTGTTCTGCTTCAGAGTTCTGGGAACCAGAATATAACCCACTATGTATCAAGAAAACGTCAAATTTGAGAAACTGAAACATTATTAAAGTGGCATGCTTAATAACTAGCAATCTCCACAGGGTTAGATCTTAATACAGTCTACCAAAAGAGAGCCATAGAATCAGTATGATGTAGTAGTGCATCACAAGCGGACATGAATGAATATGTGTAAAAATTCCATTGCCATTTTCCTTTTCAGAGCTAAACTTTCTGGTTTTCTGCCAAACGTTTCCATCTTGTTGCTATTACTGAATCGAAGTTTCTGTCAAATTAAATAAAATACCTGCACAGGGTTAGCTATTTCTTACAGACGCAGAAATATTAACATAGTAAATGAAACCATAACTTTTCTGCTTGCCATTCTTTTCTATAACTTTTGCCTCATTATTTTATTATTTTTACATCGTTAACTTTTTATTCCTGCATTGCAGGGGGTTGGACTAGATGACCCTCAGGGTCCCTTCCAACCCTACAATTCTATGATCATTCTATTTAGCTGTTCTTATGTCCTCCAAGCACCCTGACTTTGGAAGCAACAGTCTTAACGGTTGAACACCATCTCCATGGGTTATAAGATATTAAAATAAGCCTTCTCACTTTTATCTATTTGGGGTAGGACTTTAATATTTTTATCCTTATATTATTCCTGTAAGCTAGCAAAATAATTTTTGATCTACAAAAATACATCTATAAAGCTAAGTGGAGTCCAGCTACACAGCTAACACATTAAAAATATAACTGCTAGGAGGCAGGAATCCCTTTGTTTAAATCTCACCTTGTCACCCCAGACAAATCATGAACTGTAACCCTGGTTTGTTCTTGGTTTACCACTCATGGTTTGCCTGCAAAAGACAAACCATGTGCCCGACTTTGTACAGAATACTAAGCCAAACCATGGCTGAGCCCTGGGTAGTGTGACAGCACAGGAGCAGATATTAAAACAACTTAGAAAAAAGAATTCACAACCACACAAACAAGATGGGTCCTGGAAACACACATCATAGGTGTTAAACGAATTAAGAGGTATGTCTTTATTATTTGCCAGAACCAACTGAGGTTTCTGACTTGTATTTAAGGGGAATTCAATGTAGAGCGCACTGCAATATTCCAATCTGGAAATTACCAGAGCATGAAGCAGAGTGGTCAAGTCATCTCTGTCTGAAAGATGTTGTAGCTGGTGAACCAGCCATAGTTGAAAAAGGCTCTTTCGACTTCTGCCCCTCCAGCCTTCCTGATAAAGATAACTGCGCGCTCTTCGTAAAGGCAAAACACACGCAAAGCACTTTGAAACTTGTTGTTTTGACCTCCCCTCTAGTACACTTTTATTGACTGCTTCTGTTTCATTCAAATCTCCGCAGCAATCCCCCCCCCCCACACAAACCAAATTCATCCTTTCTGTGGGAGGTTTGAATGAAGTCATAGGTGGCCAGACCTGGTCTACGATTTCTCACTCAGGCTCCTGGCATTTAGATGCTGAAGAGCAGCATATGTTAGACATTGCTACCTTGACCAGGTTCACAGTCTAGTCCTATTTATACCCAGCTGGCGAATCTCATGCCTGTCAATCAAAGGACCTCATTCCCTACTGTAGCAGTGATTGGCTGAGCTGTTTTAGTGTCACATATGAAGCCTGACCCAAGAAGAAGAAGAGGAGGAGGAGGAGGAGTTTGGATTTGATATCCCGCTTTATCACTACCCTAAGGAATCTCAAAGCAGCTAACATTCTCCTTTCCCTTCCTCCCCCACAACAAACACTCTGTGAGGTGAGTGAGGCTGAGAGATTTCAGAGAAGTCTGACTAGTCCAAGGTCACCCAGCAGCTGAATGTGGAGGAGTTGGGACGCGAATCTGGTTCACCAGATTACAAGTCCACTGCTCTTAACCACTAAACCACACTGGCCAAGACATTTTGGCACCTGAGGTGAAGCACTGAATGGTTTCTCCCACCCATCCAGCCACCAGGGAAGAAGGGGTGAGCGAAGATCTACATCAGGAACAAGGGATGAATAAAGACCTACATTGGGATCTGCTGCCTTTGTGGATCTTGCTGCCTGAGGTGGTCGCTTCACCTGATCTCACGGTTGGGCTGGTGCTGTACGATATGGATAAGGTAGGAAATGTCTCTGGTCCTGTCTCAGCTGCTCTGAACCATTCATTCATTCATTCAATTTATTTATTTAATCGCCCTTCATCCGAAGATCACAGGGCAGAACAATATGAACCTAGAGGGGCAATCTGGGAATTAAGTGCACAGGCTGCTCACTAAACCCTGATTCAACCTTCACATCTTCTTATATGTGTCTTAGAAATTGAGCTTTGGCTGTGTAGAGAGCAGGAAGTAGTAGGATATGTGTCATAGTTACATGATCTGGCAATCTTCTGCGTATTTTTAGAATCTGAAAGACAGGCTGATGCTAACCTATGTGACCATCGCATAAGATGTGTTTTATGAATGTTTGAAATCATTTACAGCTAGGCTTTCCTGCTCTTAGTAATGCACAACCCTAGTGTGCTTACTTAAATCTCCTCAACTGTATGTCCACAGGCAAAAATATGACCTTGGCTGAGAAGCTGCTCTGTTAGGGGTCATCATTTCCTAAAATAATAAGCCAACTGAGTGTATTTGATCTGTAGAAACCAGAAGCGTGCAATGAATTTTAGTTTGAGTGCCTAATATTATGTAATATTGACTACACAATGCTTCCAGTAACAAAATTAAATATATAAATAGTTGTCACGACGTGAACAAAAGCACAAGGTTCAAATCTTGTGCCAAGCTCTGATGCATATATCTCGTTGTCAGTCACCTGACTGGGGGTCTATGTTTTATTTAGGTAAAATATTTTTACTCTGCCCTTCCAGGACAGTTTATAAAATGTCACATTTTTTAGAAAGACCAACTGCAACAATAAAGCAGTAGCTAGAAGCGGGAGGGGGAAAAATATATCCCCCCCCCAAAAATATTCACAATACCTGGAAGTCCTGGAATAAGAAAAGGTCGTTTTCCTTAGTGTCTGAAAAAATAATGATGTGGGTGTCAGGTGAGTTTCCCTGGGGAAAGATTAGCACAGTCTGCGTGCCACTTGCGTCTATTGATGCCAACAGTGTTTGGGCTTCCTGTGTGCAGAATTGCAAGCTATGTCAGTAGGTGAAAAGGGGCTTCTCATTTCAGATATGGATGAAAGTACATGGATACCCAATGAAGATGCTCTCATGAAAACAATAACAAGCTCAAGGGGTGGGGTGGGGTGAAAAACAGATTGTAATCCAAAATATATAATCTATAATGGGGTATAACAATGCAAATTATCTGGGGAAGAGTTTTTCCATGTGTGGGTGCCTTATGTCAGTCAAAGACATATACATAAACTGCAATCTGTTCAACTATTTGAATGTTGAAAACACAACATTTCCTCAAGTAGATGAATTTGGAGTATGCTAAGCAGCCATGAATATGTATGGGTTACGTTTCATGTGAAGTTTCAGAATGAGATGTCAGTGCCAGTTTTGTGTAAGAGTGAGCATTTCCACTTTGAACATCTTTGCATGGATTTGAAATGCAGGATATGGAACTGTATTATATATGTGCATATCATATAAAGTTTTTAAATCATATTTTTAAAAAATGAACAACAAACATAAAAGTATAGATGGAGGTGCTCCAGCTGACCTGGTGTAGTAGTGGGACTTTCAAAAATCTTTTGACCAAGTATCTGAAAGAACTCCTTCCAGCCCAAATAAAGTGCTTATTTGCATGTAACAGCCTCGTGCTCATTTAGTTCCCTTCAGCTCCATACACAATGTACTTTTGCCCCAGGAAAGGGTCACATCCTCAAGTAAACTCTGTAATTAAGAAGCATCTCACTCTTTTTTAAAAAAAAATATTTATTATTTTTCCAAAAACTTAAACACTAAAAAGAAGATAAACAATACAATACAATACATCAAATTAACAAAACAAGACAAAGACAATAAGATAAATCAAACAATTTCATTATCCCATCTTTCATTCACTTATTTCCACAACCTCCTCACACCTCCCTTTTTGTATTCCACTTCTGTTAATTATTTCAGCAATTCCTTTCCATCTTCCTCTGTTTTCTATCCTATAATTATCTTAACTCATTCTAACCTTATTTTTTCCTTTAATGCTCTATTAACCTATCTGTACTTAATTCCTTATAATATTTCTACTAAAGCCATATAACTTCATTCCCGAAGCATCTCACTCTTGACTTCCCTTCTCTCCAGGGTGATCAGCTTTTTTATCTCACAGAGATGCAACAGGTTAAATCTCAAAAAATGACATATATTGTCTGTATGTTTGTGTCTGGCCTCTGTTTCACACAGACCCACAACCTGCCTTGCTCGGGACAAAGGTACGTGGTGATTATTAATGTTATTTTCACCCATCTATCAACCTAAAGCAGATCCTGCTACAGCATCAGCTTCACAGGCAAGGTCCTATAAATATGAAACCTCATCTTTTGGTCAGGCTCTTTAGTTGGATCTAGGTTGTTGTTGTTACAACAACAACAATAATAATTTTATTACAACAATTTTATTATTTATATACCCTGCCCATCTGGCTGGGTTCATGGTGCATGCACTGCAGTGAAGTGAGGGAGATATCCATCCTATGAGCTTCCAAACTACTCCAGTCTTTCTGAAGCCTGACGTAAGCCTATGATAGTCAACCCCACACTTTCTACCTCCATCTTCCTAACCCTGTACCTATCCATCTAAATTTCTAATCTTCACAGAATCATAGAATTGTAGAGTTGGAAGGGACCACAAGCGTTATCTAGTCCTACCCTGCCACCAGCCATGCAGGAATATTTTGCCTAATGTGGAGCTCAAACCCACAACCTTGAGATTAAGAGTCTCATGTTCTACTGGCTGAGCTATACAATACCTTGCTGGCGTAATGTGATGGAAGCAGCTGTGCTAACACCTTGGATAATTGCTGACTAGACAGAAGCTTTCTGTTTCAAATGTCGTGCCTTATTTGTTCTCTGAGTCTCATTCCTTAAACTAGGCATGGAACGGACGTTTGGGTTGTATAAGATTGGGCTGCATTGAAGGAATGCTATGGATGAGAGAGAAATTGCGTTTGTTTTCCCCCCAGGGTGGGGTAAGTGGGAAATGAACACACTGGGTATAAATCCCACTCCTTTCCTCCTCTCCTAATCACAGACCACACTTTCCCCCATATTGTTCCTAACCCTCAACTTTATTGTACAGTGTATAAGGATGAATGCTTTATTTTCTAAAAGACTAAGGGAAAGCTTGCATAAAGTTTAATAGCCTAACAGCACAATCCTGTGCATGTCTGCTTTAAGAAGCAAGTCCCATTCAATTCAATGGAAATAATCAAATTGGGATATACGGTATGTAAGACTGCATTTGAGTTCTAATTCCACAACAGGACTTCCATTTCTTGTCCTCCCCCACCCCCAAAATTTATTATGGAGAGTCTCCTAACCCTTCGCAGCTGATTCTGAAGGCAGATGGGGGCTGGAGCGGACAGAATAAGGAATGGAAGTTCCATTGTACACCCAGATGTCTGTTGTGCTGGCAGAGCTACAGAGTTTGATACAGTACTAAGGCTACAATAATATATCCACTTACACTGGAGTAAGATACATTGAGTTCAATGAGTCTTAATTCTGAGTAGACATGCAGACAGGGGTGCCAACTTGAATATAATATTGGGGGGGGGTAGATAAGCCCCACCCGGCATAATTGATCAGAAGATGTGGCACACAGACAGCATTTGAATGGCAATGCCCATCAACTTGAGGAACCGCCCCCTCAATTATTTTATTGGTGAGGCCAAAGGGACCCAGGAGTTGCCTCCTGCATATGAAGAGGATTCCACTAATTGTTCTTTTTACAGTGGCATCAGAGTCAGGGAAATGGCAGCTAGGATTGACAGTAACAGAAATCACAAAACTAGTTGTAGAGAAAAATATAGCAAGGAATTTCCAGGCATAAGAAAGGGAAGTTCCTATTATGAAGGACACTTTATTAGATTAACAGTCTAAAACAGGCTTCCTCAACTTTGGCGCTCCAGATGTTTTGAGACTACAATTCCCATCATCCCTGACCACTGGTCCTGCTAGCTAGGGATCATGGGAGTTGTAGGCCAAAAACATCTGGAGGGCAGAGGTTGAGGAAGCCTGGTCTAAACCTACACAAAAGAAAGAGGTCACTACATTCAGTGGGACTTATTCACAAGAAGGGTTTGCAGCTTTACTTATAATATATAAAATTATCTTAATATTGATTTCACCTTTGGGGGTTCAAAGATATATTACATACAAAGGTATATAAGAAAACTCAACCGTCTGTTTAATTCTTATAAAAGGAACTTAGAAAAGGATGATTTGAAATGGGATGTCAACAGGTGAGGGGCTTGCCTTACCTTCCCCAAGGTAATATGGAGCAGGCGTATGGCAATCCTACACTGTTCATGCTGGCAAGCACTATGTCATGGTAGTTTTCAGCATTACAACTTGGAACAAATGAGCAAAAACACAACGAACTGCAGATCATGGGAGTATGGAGAGAACGAGAGTAATATACAACTGATTCACACATTCCTGGACGTGTAGGCATGGGCACGCCAGGGCTCATAGATGAGATGAATGAGATATACCTTTCCTGAGGCTGCTGTAGTAAGCAGATTTAGTTACTCCTATTTCATTTAAGGAAACAAAATTGTTGACAGTATAAGTTATTTCCCTGCTCAAACAGCAGCGGAAAGAATGGTTCTGCAGAATAAAATGAAATAATTCAAAAGAAATGGAATGACTCACTGCCGGGATTAGATTAACAACGGAGGTAGTCAAGGAAAGATTGATGTATTGGGACAAAAGCTGTCTAAAATTAAATAAGGTATGCCACTTGCAGACCAGCAGGAGGGATACCTTCTTGCCCTTTACAATTTATAATGGCATCCTCCAGATAAATTTCCTTGTCCACTTTTTATTGAAAACATTAACTGACTGGTTGTGTAGGCCGTGTTTTCAAAAAGCAAGGACACTAGTCTAACATAGCCATGAGGATACTGTGAAGTGTAGAAGTTTGCTTCCAGGCAACACATTATCCAGCAAAATCCCTGAGAACACCAGAGGCTTTGATTTAAAATGCACCTTTAAGTCTTTTGGCTGCAGATATAGTTTAAGAGGATAAGTGTCCACTAAAGGCTCAGGGATTATGAATAGGGTTATTCATCACCCAAAAAAGGCCCTGAATCTCACCCCACAAGTGTGGATAAAACTTTACACATTCTGATTTATATGCATAGATGAAAATTTAAGAAATAATTACTATAGTATGAATAGGAATATAACACAGCTGCAGCTGTCTCTGGAGCCAATGCTTTGATGACCTCCCACCTGGACTACTGTAACATGTTTTATGTGGAGCTGCCCTTGAAGGATGGTCCAATAGCTGCAGCTAGTGCAGAATGTGGGTGCTAGGTTGCTAAGTGGGGTAGCCTAATAGGACCATGGGTCACTGGTCCTTAGAATACTACTGCCAGTGAGTTACTGGGTCCAGTACAAGCTTTTCGTACTAACATACAAAGCCCTAAATGGCTCGGGACCCAAGTACCTGAAAGAGTGCCTTTCCCAGTATCCAACATCTCAGGTCTTATGATCACATGCCCTCCAGCAGTTCTCTGATGAAAATAGGGATGTCCCATTCCATAATAAGGATTTTAATATTTATACCCCACCCACCTTACTGGGTTTCACTAGCCACTCTGGGCAGCTTCCAACATATATAAAAACTTAATAAAACATTAAACATTTTTAAAATTCCCTATACAGGGCTGCCTTCAGACAACTCGGGGAGATGGATAACTCCAAACCCTCCAAAATTTCTCTGATGAAAATAGGGCTATCCTGTGGAAAACCAGGACATTACGGGATCAAATCAGAAACCGGGATGGCTTCTCAAAATCAGGGGCTGTCCCTGGAAAATAGGGGCACTTGGAGGGTCTGTGATCAGCAGTGGAGGTCACTGGGGGTTGCACAAGTGGCCGTGACCTGTGACAAGGCCTTCTTAGTGGTAGTCCCCCATTTGTGGAATGCCCTCTCCAGTGAGACGTGTCAATCTGCCTCACTATTCACTTTCAAGAGAAATTTTTAAAATATTCCTGTTTATTTGTGTATTTGGATGGCTGAAAGTTACTGTCCCTGGCAACCCTGAAATCATTAGTTTGAAAGCAGCTGATTGCTTTCAGGAGTTTTAAAAACTTTGTTAGATGACTGTTGTGAATTTTTCAGGAGTTTTAATTGATATGTTTGTCACTCTGGGCTCCTTTGGTGTGGGGTATAAATCTAATGATGATGGTGATAAGCTAATGACTCACTAAACAATCCCGTTGTGAGCTCATCCAAGATGGCTTAGCAGGCATCAGTTTTAAAGGTAGAGGGAACCCTGACCATTAGGTCCAGTTGTGGCTGACTGGGGTTGCAGCGCTCATCTCACTTTATTGGCCGAGGGAGCCAGCATACAGCTTCCGGGTCATGTGGCCAGCATGACTAAGCCACTTCTGGCGAACCTGCAGGAGCAGGGACTGAGCAACGGGAGCTCACCCCATCACGGGGATTCGAACCTGCCGACCTTCTGATCGGCTACTCCTAGGCTCTGTGGTTTAACCCACAGCGCCACCTGCATCCCTAGGAGGATCTGAATGGCAAAACGTTTGTCTGCCTGGAGGCTTGTACTGATAAGGAAATAGGGAAAGGTGGCGCAGTTGGTGCTTGGAAAAGGGCAAAGAGGCCGACCCCCTCCTAGCAACCACACACAGAGCTTGCTTCTTGCTTTGAAAGCACACTCTAAAAAGGGATATACAATTCAAGCAGTCTGCTTGCTAGCTTAAGCTATACACATATTCTAAACAAACTCTTCCCCAGCCATTATCCTTAAACAAATACTGTTAGCTCTGATTTTTATTCAATCTTTAGCAACCTACAGGGGGCTAATAGAGGAACTGAGAAAGAAGGCGAGAATGGCTTATATATTTCTAATGTCCTCATTTTTTTTATCTCAAGTAATTTTTTCCTGTTTGTCCCCCCATCTGCTGCACACACACACACACACACACACACACACACACACTTAGTGTTGTGACTCCAATTGATCTAGCTTTTCAGAACATGCCCAGACAACAAGAAAATGGTTTCTCAGGCAACAGCAATTATGTGAAATCTGTTTGTACCCTGCCTCCTTCCTATTTCTCTTCACTTTTAGCTGTTCACAAACAAGCAACAATGAGCTGATGGACCCCTAGCATTTAATTAAAATTCATCAGGATAAGTAATTGCAGGAAATATTGCTTTAAATGGCAAAGCGGATTCTCCTTCATGGAGAGCATGTGTTGCGGTGGAAGCAACCATCACATTCCCTGTTGATGGGTGGGTTAGTTTGGATGGCCACAGATTTGATCGGGCACCTCCAATGTTGTAGGGGAAAATTGATTGCTGCAATTTTATTTGATTGATGGAGGTGCTATATAGGTCCCTTCTTTTCGCTGCGCACATTGGATTACCCGCCCACCCTCCCTTTATTTAGGGTTTGTTTGCGCTGACTTTGCTATGCCTGTTATGGGGTCGTTTGCTTTGGAGCAGGGGCCTAGTAGGAATTTTACCATTTGGCTGATTGGCTGGTGCCATTTGGGTTTTGCCTACTGTGTAGCAAATCGTCACAACTTGTAAGTTGTGGTTAGGCATTGGCTAATTTTTTGGTTGGTGGAGGGGATGTGCTTGGCTGTGCCTGCCCCTCCAATGCTGCTGCTGCAAGGGTATTCCGTTAAAGGAATTCAGGGGCTCGCCATGCTTTTGTCCGTATCCCTGACAAAGGCCACACAAGAGCCCCAGGGAGCATTTGGGGAGAGGTGTGAGCCTGGCA